CCCTAGCACCCCCTAAACCATCCCTATAACCTCCCTCACCCTCTAACCCCATCCCCCTAGTACTCCCTAAACCATCCCTATAACCTGCCTCACCCTCTGATCCCAGTCCCTTAGTACCCCCTAAACCATCCTTGTAACCTGCCTCACCCCCTGACCCCATTCCCCTAGCACCCCCTAAATCACCCCTATAACCTGCCTCACCCCCTGACCCCATCCCCCTAGTACCTCCTAAACCATCCTTGTAACCTGCCTCACCCCCCGACCCCATTCCCCTAATGCCCCCTAAATCACCCCGATAACCTGCCTCATCCCCTGACCCCATTCCCCTAGCACCCCCTAAACCATCTCTATAACCTGCCTCACCCCCTGAACCCGTGCCCTCAGAATCCCCCAAATCTTTCCTATAATCTGCCTCATCTACTGACCCCATTTCCCCAGAACCCCCAATACCATTCCTATAACCTGCCTTGGCCTCTGACCCCATTCCTCCAAGGCCCCCTGCACCATCTCTAAAGCCCGCCTCAACCCCTGGCCCCATCCCTCCAGGCGCAAGACCTCTTGACCCTCCTCCATAAGCTGTTCTGCCTCCAGTTTCCTGAGGTCCTGGAATTCCTGATCCATCCCCATAACCCAGTGTATCGCCAGACCCATAAACACACTGGTTCTCGGAACCGGCCCCAGTGTGAGGAGCTAGCGCCTCGGGGCGCCTGGCATTGTCCCAATAACCGGCTCCAGCTCCAGAGGCACCCGCACCACGGCCCCTGGTCCCAACCCCATCACTCACTTTGCCCCCTGCCCTCAGAGACCCTGGCTCCATGGCTCCTAGACCCCCAGAGCCATCTTCATGGCCTCCTTCTCCAAAGGTCCCCGGAGCCCCTGAGGCTCTGAAGCCCCCATAATCTCCCGTCTGACTCCAAGGCCTTACTCTTCCAGAACCCCCTGGTTCAGCTCCCACTTGTCCCTCCCCAACAGTCTCCACTGTTGCAGAGGGCCCGAGGCCACCTTTACCCACAGACCCCGCTGTCCCAGGACTCCCCAGGCCACCATCGGAACGATGCCTTCCCCCAGGGCCAATGTCCCCCTGGCCTCTGGAGGCATCCCTGGCCTCTAGATCCATCCCAGCTCCATCAGGGCCACTTGAGCCACTCTTGAGACCAGCAAGTCTCCCAGACCCCCTTCTTGCAGGACCATAACCTTCTGTGTCTCCAGACCACATTCCCCCATGCACCGCTTCCTCAGACTCTGTTCCCCCAGGTGCCCCAGAGGAGACTCTATAACCAGCACCCCGACCAGATCCCACTTCTCCTGGCCCCCCTGAGCCATCACGGCAACCAGCCCCATTTTCGGGACCTAGTCCCCTAGAATACCCTAAGCCATCACCATACCTAGACTCCATTCCCCCTGGACCTCCTGAGCCATTCTTGTAGCCCATCTCACCTCTGGGTCCTTTTCCTCTAGGGCCCCATGAGCCATTCCAGAAATCTGCTTCAGACCCTATTGCTCCTGGACCTCTTAATCCATCCATGTCTCCCAGTGTCCCCCCAGACCCCTGAGCACCCAGGCCTGGAGATCCAACTAGCCTGTGGCTTCTGGCATCAACCCCCTGACCAGACCCCATCAGCCCAGCCACTTGGGCACCACCCACACCCCCATTCTTCCCACCAGGCCCCAGCACTCCAGACTGGTGGTGGGCCCCAGTTTTGCTGTCATCCCAAGGACCTGTTCTCTCAGACTCTATTCTGCCGGCCCTCCCTGTTCCGCTCTGACCTGCTGTCTGGCCTTGGGAATACTGGAGGCTTCCGGAACCATCGCCTGCCTCGCCCAAGGCCCCCACACTCTCCTGGCCCTCCCTTCCCCTGAGCCCCTGTGGGCCCCTTTCCCAGCCCCCAGGACCTCCTGGGCCTCCAGGGCTGGTTCTGTAGCACCTTCCCACAGATCCCCCTGGGCCTCCAGCCTCTGCCTCCTGCAGGGAACCCTCACCTTTGGCCTCAGGACTCCCATGTCCCAGGGGGAATTTTCTGCCGCCAGAAAATTCCTGGAAGTCCTTGCCTGCAGATGTCTGTCCTGGTGACTCCCCTGACCCCCAGAAACCCCTTGTTTCCCCATGGTCAGCAGCGCTACCTCCCCAAGAGCCCCCAGACTCAGGGCCCCTGCCTGCCTTGGAGCTAGAACCTCTTTCCCCAGGGGACCCCAGGGCGCCAGGACCTCCTGCCCCACTGCTGTCTCCAGCTCCCCCCAGGCCTGCCCCACTACCCCACACCGCCCTTGCTGCTCCTCTCCCCCTTTCCCTGCTTGGATCCTCCCCTCTCTCCACCTCACCCAGGCTCTCTCCCTGCGAAATCTCCGTCACTTCCCCTTCTGACCAAGACCCCACGGGACCAGACTGGGATCCCCGCAGGGCCCTCTTTCCTATCGCAGGTCCCCCCTGACCGCCCTGGAGGAGTTCCTGGCTGTGCCTGTCCAGTGGGCTCCCATCATCCTCTCTGTGTTCCTTTCCTTCTCCGCTGCTCCCCAGTCCTCCAGCCTGAGGACTCCGGGACCCAGCCCTCCAGCCTCCTGCGGGCCCGCTGCCTCCATCACTGTCTCTGCCACGACCCTGTGGTTGACCTTCCGTGAGGTCCAGCCCTGATTCTAGGCCCTTTCCCCACAGCTGGGGCCTCCCTGGAAGGCTTCTGTCCCAGCCTCCCTCTCCATGCAGCTGAGTTTCCCCAGGAGTGACTCTGCCTCCCTCTGCTTCCAGAAAGCCCTTTGCTTTCCCAGGGCCCCAGGTTGAGTCAGCTGCCCCCTTGTCCCCCATCGAGGAGTAGTCATGCCCATCAAGGCCACCTCTGTCTGGGCCGGCTGTGAGCTGGAGCCCAGAAGCCAGCCTAGCCCCCTCGAGGGAGTCCCCCCCGGGGCCCTGCTCCCTGGGCGTCCCTCCCTCGCTGCTGGGGCTCCAGGAATCTTCTGCTTCTGAGGTCTGGGCTCCTTGTGCCTGCAGCTGGTGGTCAGCACTTGTGGTCAGGCCTTTATCCTTCCCAGCTTTGGTGAGTGGTCGGCACCCCCATAGAGAGACAAGAGGCAAGGCCTGTTGAATCAGGCCAGGCACCCGTCTGACCTGACTGCTCTGCCTGATCTTCAGTTTTCCCAGTAGAGAGACAAGCCAACCACCTCGAAGGAAGCCGGGATGTGCCAGCTCGTTGATGGATAAGTCCCATTACCACCTCCCCCAGCCCTGTACCCAGAGGCCACCCCACCCTGCTATGTGGTTCATGGGGACTTTTGGAGGAAACACAGAAGCCAAAAGTCATTTGCTTATCAAACTGCCAGAGCAGTCGTGTGGTTTTTAAAAGATCCGTTTGCCCCACTGGCTGTCTTACAAATGTCCAATTTACAGTTTCCTGGGATCTCCTGAACCCAAATCCCCAGGGGGGTTTAAGGGTGTTCTTTGGCCTGACCCAGGGGTTTCTCATCCATACTGAGCCGAGGCCACTGTCCCAAGCCCTGTCCAGGACTCTAGGGCCATCTTGGATCTGTGCCCCCAGAGTGACTGCAGAGGCCAACAGAGCACATGCAGCTGAGGGGTACCGGGCCGGCTGGGAAGAGCCTGCAGGGCGGGGGTCAAGAATAGAGCCGAGGAGCCTCCCTCCTCCTCTGAGCAAATAACTGACCAGAGGAAGCCCCTGACCCCGGCCTTCCTCACGCCCTCCTCAGCCCTGAGGCCTTGCCTGGGGAGAGGTGGGAAAGACAGAGGTGTGGACCACTTACCTTCAACCACCAGCCAGGCGCTGGAGGCATGGAGCCCGGTGCCCAGCGAGAAGAGGCCCATGTCTGCGAAACGGGCCCCCCTCACCACCAGCCGGTGGGTCAGGCCATCAGGGGACACAGACACTTCATATTTGCTGCTGGGCCGGAGCGGCCGGTGCTGGAAACTCCAGGCAGCGTCAGGGCAGGGGCTGGAGAGAACGCACTCGAAGACAGCATCACCGTGCTCCTCACAGCGGACCTCGGTCAGTGGGACCACCACTCGGGGGGGGATGGCTGTCAGGGAAGGAGGAACGGGGGCGTCAGCTTGGCAGCGTGTTGCAGTGGGACCTGACTCAGCAGGGTTGGGAGGTCAGAAATTCAGGTTCAGACCAGCTCGGCCACAAACTCCTGTGTCACCTTGGACGGTCGGCTCCTCGCCCAGATGTCAGGTTCCACGTAAAATGAGGGGTTATAATTAGGTTGTGAACAGAAAGACTACTTTCAGCTCTGGAATTCTACAATTCTCAATCCAAGTGTCATATCCAGGGGCCAGGTGGGCACTGAAGGAGCCCCAGATGCTGAGGGCTGGTGCTTCCCGTACGGCATCTTATTAATCCCATGCCCAGGTCTCATTACCCCTTTCTACAGGTAAGGAAGCTGAGATTTCTGAAGTTCCATGACTGGCCCCAGTCTACTCAGCTAGGAGGTGGCCCCACCAGAACTCACAGCCGGGTCTGGCTGACTCCAAGGCCCCGCTCCTTTCCCCACACCACATCATTTCCAGGCTATGCAGAGCCCCGTCCAGGCATGCCAGGCCTGCCAGCCAGCTCACGCCTTCTTTCTCCCTCTGCCTTAGCTCAGCCATGTACTTTGTGATGTATCTGCCCAAAGCTTCCTTCCCTGGCCTCCTCTCCTTCCAGGAGCCCCTAAGCTGTCAAGTGCTCAAGGGTGACATGTACAAGGCTCCTCGTGTGGACAGGATGGAGTTTGATGAGGGAAGAAGGGACAGTTCCCAGGGGAGGGGGCATGGGAGGCAGAGCAGGAAGACGTCTGTGTGGGTACAAGCACCTCTACCCCGGTGGGGATTGCTGCTAAGGGTTGTGGGGGACGAGGACCTGCATCAGACAGGAGTGAGGCTCCAGAGGCTGTGGGATTAGTTAGGATCTGATCTGAAAATGATTGGTTGCTGTGGAAGGTCTGTGAGCAGGGGTGTGCCATGTCTGTCCTGTCTGTGGCTGAAACTCAGCAGAGCCCAGCTCAGCACCAAGAGAACACAGACTTTTTGGGCCAAGAACACAGGCCAAGACTTTTGGAAAGAGACTATCACCATTGAACCATGGGGGCACACGTTCCTCTCCCCACCTGTCTTTGCCTGGGGAGCCCGTCACATTCATCTACGCCCCACCCATGGCACTGACCTGGTTACCCCCCACCCCCACCCCCACTCAAACTTCTGCAGGGAAGACACTCACCGCCAACCTCCAGTTCCGTGGAGAAGATTTCGGCATCCTCCACCTTGACCTGGTAAATGCCAGCATCCTCAGGCCGCAGGTCCTGGATCTGGAAGTGGTAACGCTTCCCTAGACGCCGCAGACAGTGCTTGGTCTGGTTGTCGAAGCCGTAGGGGACCATCTCGCCATCCTGAGGCCGGCAAAGGAAGAGCGGGGTTGGGACCTCGGCAGGTCCCCAGCACCCCCCGCCCCAATCCCACTCTGCCGCAACGGCAGTTGCCTCCCACTGGCCCAGGCGCCAGAAAACGTATTGCTGGAGCCACACGGCGGGCGGGGCAGGGGTGGGCTGGAGGTGGAGAGCAGGGCCTGGAGACAGAACAAGCAATGTGAGGCGGAGGGGAATAAATGCTCTGGGATCCTCCATGACCCCCCTGGGGAGTGAGCATCTACCAGTGTCACGTGAGAATACCTGGGATTTCGAGGTCGCAGCTCAGACCGAGAAGACGACTGCCCAAGCAGCCCTCAAGGTTAGCAGGGGGCAGGAAGGCCACACCAAGGGCCATGGCCCAGTGCATCCACTCATGGAGGGGAAGGAGAGAGCACTCAGCGCCTTCAAGGCTCCCCTAACCCAGTCATCTAGGCACTACCCCACTGCAGCTCAAGCCTGGTGGCTTTACCTCTTGTGAATACTGACGACAGCTAACACGTGCCCTCTGTGTGCCAGGCAGTGTATAGGTGCCTGGGACACATCTGAGGATAAAACAAGGATTCCTGCCCCTGGGGGGCTGAAGTGTCACCCAGGGCGGGCAGGGGGCGGGGGTCTCCCTGCAGGTGAGGGCTTAGCCGTGTGGATGTCAGGAAGAGCAGGGCCGGCAGAGGGAACAGCTGGAGCAGAGGGACAGGCCAGGGGCAAGAACAGAGGTGCAGGAAGAGGCAGAGGAGGGGCACGGCATGCATGACCTCATTTATCATCTCAGCACGCCCGAGACAGGCCTTCCAGTTCCTCACTTTACAAATGAGGAAACTGAGGCATGGGGAGACAAGCATCTTCCTTCTATCAGTGTGGTGTCTGACCACAGGACTAGTATCATGCATTACTGTCCCCCCACACCAACCCCAGTCCCCACATGGTTGATGGTAATTACTCCTGGAGCCCACGCGGGGACATGTCAGGTCTCTGGAGAGAGAGCTCGCGTGGAAGGGGGTGCGCTTGCTGGGAACCCTCTCTTTACCCCTGGGCCCTGGCTGGAGACTCTGGCTGCTTAGTGAGAGGTGGGAGGCCTCCGCGGAATGCCTACACTGGGGTTTGACCTGACTCCAACCAGGAGCTCCACAGCACGCAGGGCTCACCACCCGTGTTCTCCGGTTGTTCCCACACGGGGACCCATGGACCCACAGTTCCATCCCAGAGCTGCGGCATCCCTGCCAGGTCCCTGCCCCTTCAGTGGCCCCTCCAGCCTCACCTTATACAGGTAGATCTTGCTCCCCAAATCCTTGAGATCCAGCTCCAGGTGAAATGATGCCATCCCGTCCTTGGTGACCTTGATGTGTCTCAAGTTGGAGAGGACGTTGACGTACTACGGAGACAACCCACCAGAGAGCTCTCTGAGCTCTCTCTTCGGGGGGCCACAAACCCTCAGACCCCAGCCCCCAATATCCCAGCTGAGCACCGTTTGGCCATTTACAAGTGGGAGACTTAAGCCCCGTGAGTAAGGAAATCTCTGGACGAGACAACAGGCCAGGAAGCGGGGCAGGAGAGGCCCCCAGTGTCCAGGTGCTTTGAGAACATGGTTTTCTGCTCTTCTGCTATTCCAGCCACCAAAAATCAAAAAACTGGGCACCTATTGTGTGCAAAGCCCTATGCTGGGTTCTGTGCTAAAACAGATGAGGAAGCTTGAAGGAGAGGAAGCCGAGGCCCTGGACGGGAGGTTTGATGAACCACCTCCAAGTTGACAAAACGCCACTTTCAGGATAACGACAACCAGTTGTTTTGCATTTCCAGAAGAAAAATTAGACTTATCCTATAGTTAGGTTAGACACAGGAAAGAACTTCCTGTACAGTTTATAAGACACTGGAATGGGAATACTAATGGGACTGTGAAATCCCCTTCTCTGGAGGCCTTCAGAGACAAGGCAGGTGCCCAAGGTCTGGTGCCAGCGATGGACAATGACGATGAAGCTGACGTGAAGCCCTCGCTGTGCGTCAGGCACCAGGCTAAGTACATTCTCTCTTTCATCCCCTCCATCACCCTATAAGGTAGGGACGACTAGAACACCCATCTTGCACATAAGGAAATCAAGACACAGAGGCCCTAACTTTTCCAAAGCCCCAGATTTTAGAAGTGTCAGAGCCAGGTTCAACGCCAGGACGCCGACTTGGGAGCCTGGGTCCTTAGCCGGACACCACACTGGGGGCGAGGTGAGGGGCCCCTCCACCATGTCTGGTTTCTCCCAGCTCCAGGTGTGCGGCCTGGCAAGGCGCCGCCGCAGGTGTGGTGTGGCGGCGAGGGTACCTGTGCCATCTTGACCTCCCGCTCCTTCCGCATCTCCTGCAGCTTGTGCAGCATGCCCCGGAAGTCCACGATGCCGTACTTCAGGCAGATCCGCTCGTAGTCCTTCCGGTCGGCCGTCATCAGCAGCTGCCACACCTGCTCCATGTCCACCTTTTTCTCCGGGGCGGGAGGTGTGGCCCTGGGGAGCAGGGTGGGCAGGTCAGAGGCCAGGGGAGCCCCAGGAGCTGGTGACCTGGCCCTGGCGTCCCGAGGGGTCCTGGGGAGCTGCCCTCTCTGTGCTGGCGGACAGGGCCCAGAGACGGGGATCTGGGACTGACCACTGTTGGGACCGGAAGGACCCAGAGATGGACAGGGGTGCCCTGGCCCCGCAGCGCCAGCGTCACAGGAGAAACTCTGCTCCTAACAACTTGTGTGGTGGATTTCCGAGCAAGATGTCTTGGGGAAGGGAGGAGATTGTTCTGTTGCTTTAAAAAAGTTTTATAAATCTCTCTTCTAGTGGAGCACTCGATTTTACAAATGAGTAAATCAGGACCCAGAAAGGAGAGATGATCGACTCAACGATGTCGAGCTTAAAAGCGGCAGAGCTGGATCAGGAATTCCCGGCTCAGAGCCCCTCCTCCCACAGGCGGCCCGCAGTCCAGCTTCCCTGCGTGTGTCGACGGTGGAGGTGAGGGCTCAGCTTGTGGAAGTGGCAGGGGACAGGCACCACGGAGCCTCCCAAACCCCCCACGGACAGGCCAGACCCACCTCTTCAGTAACTTCCGGAAGTCCACCAGCTCCTTCCTGAGGTCTAGAAAAGAAGCAAGAAAGAGGCCCCAGTCCCAGGGTGGGCTTCCCAGGGTCTAATGCAGGCTTTTCTGTAGAAAGGGGGTGTGGTGGGGAGGGGATTAAAGGGGGGTCCTGTGGACCGAGGCTGACAACTGAGCTTTCGAAAGAGGCTCTCCTGTGGGCTAGTGACGACCCATTAGTGTCCCTAGGGGCTTCGCCGAGTCGGGAGCAGCAGGCACTGAGCAGTACATCCCCCAAAGACCCCAACGAGATTTCCAACAACCCTGCCACCTACCCGTCTGGGGCTCGTTTTGCCTCTTCCGAGTCTTCCGAAAGCCAACTGGACCGTGAGGAGGAGAGGAAGGAGTTCATGTGGACAGGCAAGGGGAGAAGGAAGACACATTGATGGCCCTCGGGAGACCAACAGAGTGCTGGGGCCCTGACTTCCCCTCTAAGGCCTGGCAACAGCCCAGCAAGAGGGATGAGCAGGGTGGAGGGTGTGTCCATCACAAACTTTGATACCCCAGGCCCTTAGCATGACCAGGGTAGAACCAGCCTGATTATCATGACATGCAGGGGAGGCCCACGCCCCCGTCTGCAGGGCCCAGAGAGGTGGCACGAACGGGTGAAGGGACCACAGGTGACCACAACAAACTGAACCATGTCTGAAGGGGCAGCTGCTCTTCTGCTCCACCTGAGAGCTGCCTTCTCAGGGGCAGGCCCAACACTGCAAACACTCAGCCTGCTGTTTGTCTGCAGCCATTCACAATCCTCTTCCTAATCCCCGCATCCACCGGAGATGCTGGAAAGCTAAATACTTGCCTTCCCAGCTTGCCTTGCAACCAGCAGTGGCCATGAGACACAGATCTGACCCCTGAGATGTAAGCAGAAGTCTCCAAGGAGTTTCTGAGAAAGATTTTGTCGGGGCCACTCTTTTCCCTTGTGCCCGCCATGAATGTGGATTCAGTGTGGATCTGCAGCAGCCATTTTATGACTACGAGGTGATGAGCCAAGCTCTAAGGGTGGCAGAGCATGAGACAGAAAGAGCCTTGCTCTCCTGTGACAGCCCGGAGCTGGGAGCCCTGGACTCCAGTCTCTGGACTTCTCATGGGGAGTAGTGAGGTGTCTTTATTTCTTGGGCTACCTGTCATAGGCTTTTCTCTTACTCGTAGACAGAAGCAGGACCAATTGAGAGACTAGATCTGCTTTCTCAAGAGACTGCTACCTTCCAATGATTACATGTTGACAATTAATTTAAAATTTGTGACACACTGTGCAAACAAAAAACCCCATGTCTGAGGAAGGGTTTGGGCTTTATATTACCTGTCTGCCCCCTCTGGTGTGGAGCTGTACAAAGCACTCCTTCTACAGTGGAGAAACTGAGGCACAGAGAAGAAAATGAAGCCCACTGAATGAGCTGACAGAAGATCCAGGACTAGAAGCCAACTTCCAGGTCCTGAGCTCATTCCACGGGGCTAAGAGAAAGTCCCTCAGTGCGCCCGCAATGGGACGTCTGCCGAGCGTGCGCCTGTGCCACCACACGCAGAGCTAGTGTGTAAGTGGACAAGGCCGCAAGCTCCGGCTCCAGGCAGGGCAGCAGCCTCCTGGGGCCCCCTCCCTCCCCACAGGTGCAAGGAGGCCTTAGATGCCGGGAGCACCGCTGGGACAGAGCCAGGGACGGACCGGGGTGCCCACCTTCGATGACGGTGAGCCTGGCGGAGCACATGGCCTCTCCGTACGCGTTCACTGCGGTACAGCGGTACACGTCCATGTCCTCACCCGTCAGCTTGTTGATCTGCAGAGGACAAGGGCAGGGGACAGGGCTAGCATCCCCCTCCATTTACTAGACGTGGCTGTGTATCACAGAGATGAGTAAGACACGGCCCTTGTCCTCATCAGGAAAGCACACCCCAAAACAGAATCCCAGATCAGGACAGAGGGTGGATGTGCCCGCTCTTTGCCATCAGAGGCAACACAGTGTAGCAGAAAGAGCTCGCTTTCTTGAGTCAGACGTATCTGGGACTACACATCGTCTCTGTCATGTATTAAGAGATTTGGGACCTTGAGCAAGTTACCTAACCTCTCTGAACCTTAGTTTCTTTACTTAAAAATGAGGGTAAAAGGACCAGCCCCGTGGCTTAGCGGTTAAGTACACGCGCTCTGCTGCTGGCAGCCCGGGTTCAGATCCCGGGTGCGCACCGATGCACCGCTTCTCCGGCCATGCTGAGGCTGCGTCCCACATACAGCAACTAGAAGGATGTGCAGCTATGACATCCAACTATTTACTGGGGCTTTGGGGGAAAATAAATAAATAAATAAAATTATTAAAAAAAAATGAGGGTAATAATACCTCAAAAGACGGTGAATGATGAGGATTAAAGTATATAATCTACATCATGTGGTTAGCCCAGGGCCCAGCACACAGTAGGAGGTCCATGACTGGGAGCCATAAATATGGCTAATATTGACCAACATTGGTTGAGTGGGACTCACTACGGGCCAGGCACTGCCAGACACTTTACATAACCTTTAATCCCCATAGAAACCCCATAAAGTGGGTGCTATTATGACCCACTTGACAGATGAGGAAACAGAGGTGCAGAGAAGTAAGCAGCCTTCCGAGGCCAAGGTGTGGGCCTGGGGTCGTAACCAGGCAGTCTGACTCCGGGCTTGAGTTCTTAAGCTCCAGTCTACACTGCCTCCCAAGTTATCAGCAGAGCCACCTGGAAGCCTGCTGGGTCCACACCTGGCTCAGGCAACCCGGAGCCACAGGGTGGAGGTGAGTGGACTCAGCCCTACTGCTGGGGGTATCTCTTACTGCTCTGGGGCTTGGAGGCCACCAAGGAGCCCCTCGAGGGGACGGGAAGAGATGGGTGGACCCCAGCCTACCCCTGCTCACCTGTAGCACGTGCTCCTTGCCGCCAGGGGTGGAAGAGATCTGGTACTTGCTGGAGTGACTGAGGGTACCTTTGCTGCACTGCCAATGCACCTCAGGTCTGGGATCCCCACAGACCACGGCCCGGAAGATGGCATTTTTCCCTGTAGCGGGAAGAGGCCGGCGGGAGATTGACAAGTTGGGGGAGGGGGAGAGTATGTTTACTGAGATTTTAATTTATGTTGTCTTCGCTGCTCTAGATGTTCCAATGGCCCACTGCAGGAAGGGCGCCAGGCCTCAGTCCCCTTGCCTCAAGGACTCCTCTAGCTCCCGGGCGCTCAGAAGACAATCCTCGGTTGGCTTTTGTATGGCAACGCCCGGGATCCTTGAGGAGGAGGTGCAGCTGGACTGTCCATGGTGGAGGGGTGGTGAGCAGGGTTTGGGGTGGGAGGGGTGTTTCTTTGCAGGTGAATGCGGTAAGGAGTCTGAAGGACTCCCCAAGACTGGGAAGGGGATGAATCTTCTGTGGGTTCCATGTCCACGCTCTAGGGCAGGACGACAACCTTGGAAAGGTGTGGCTGTTTGGCACTCAAAGGAGCTGGTCCTGAGACGCAGGGTTCCAGCCTCAGAAAAGACCCCACGCTCCGTGTCTGGCGTGGGAGGCTGGGAGCTGCTCCCCCACCAGGAACCTCTCAGGCTCCCCACAGGGACATCTCAATAGAGAGTGTACGCAGTAAAGACCCACGGGACTTCCCAATGATGAGACAAAACTCTCACGACCTTGTGGAGTGGGGCTTCGAGTCAGATTGAGAAAACTAGAGGGCCAAGATTTTTCTTATACCAGAGTGTTGTAAACTGAAAATCACTGCAGGGATGTGGTTTGGGGAAAGAACACCAATTTGCATCCCTTCCCCAACAAGCCTTTGCTCCCCCTACTCTCCCGGGCACTTCTCTCATGTGGCCTTCCAGAAACTTCCAGAGCCCGGCCTGTGAGCCGCTGCGTGTGGCTTCTGGAGGCCAGGGTTGGGAGGATCCCGAATTCATTCAGTTTTGCTGCCTCCCTGCTGCAGCTGCTGGGAGGAGGGGAGAGGGCGGGACACTGGGATACCCCACAACCTCCTCCTGCTCCCAGTTCAGCATTTCCAGTTCTTGTTCCCCAGACACTTCTTGCATCAGCCAACATGGCATGTCTTCACTCCCTCACCCATTCTGCTCCCCAGAGCCTTGCCTTTCTGGGGATCCAGAACGGCCCTATGCATGCTGGGAGTGGGGATCTTGCCTCCTTTCAGCGGCTCCCCTCCCACGTCTCACCCTCCTGCAGCGCCAAGGTGATGGGCTTCTGCTCGAAGTTGGGCAGGCTGCATCCTTTGGGGACCTCCTCCACCAGCTGCCGGATGCTCACCCCAGGGACAGAGGACCTCTTGAAGGGCTTCCCTGGAGAAGGCGGGAGAAAGGGAGATGGGCCCTACCCTCTCTCCCTCATGGGTGGCCCTTCCACACCATGGAGCATTGACCCACTTTCCCCAGGAGGAAGAGCCCTCTTCGCTCCCCCAGTGTCGGGCAGCACTGTCTCCCACAGCTCTGCCTGTGAGCAGTGCTTTTGAATGTTCTAGTGGGGTCCGGCAGTGGTCCGCCAGCAGTGCGAATGGGGCCGCTGGGAAGTGGGCAGGGGGCGCCCTGGGAAGACTCTGGGAGCATCCCTGGGGTGAAGCTGGAGAGGGAGAGTGGGAAAGGGCTCCTTGTCAGAAGCAAGGCCCACATGGGGGCCTCTGCACATTTTGTTCTGGAAAACCAGTTAAAACCCCAAACCAAAAGTAAAAAAAAGCAAAGAAGCAGGTGAGCTCCCAAAGCTCCCTGAGCCCTCCCCCTTCCCTCCTCTCCACCCAGGGGAGGAACGCCAACGCGGTGCTAGGGGACGGGAGGGGAGCTCTGCCCTCACCTGCCATAGTTCTGGCTCCTCTCTGGCTGCTGAGGGTGGTGACTGGTCTCCTGAGAATAGAAGACAGGCCTGCTTATGAGAGGTGTGGGCTGGTCTCCCCATCCCCCACCCATCAGTGCCACAGCCAGCATCTGGGGTGGGAGCCGGGTGGGGTTACTGCCCCCGAGAGCTTGTCTCACCCCAGCTAATGACGCTGATGGGTTTCCTGCAATCCCTGCTCAGCAACACCGATTTCTCAGAGTTGGGAAGGGGTAGGACGCTGCCCAGTTGGACCTTTCCCAGGCAAAGGACACCAGGGGGCTGAGCCTACAAACTGGGCTGGTGGGCTGGCCTCCTGGTGGGACCCAGGCCCAACGACCACTCAGAGGGTGAGGAACAGCCTCCCCGAACCTCGGGAGATCAAATTCCAGCATTCAGGATCCTTCCAGCTACTGAACAGCCTGGCCCCCTTGACTCTGGAATATCACTTTTCCAGGGACATTCTCTGGGACTCCGAGACCTTCTAGCAGGGCCCAGAGCCCTCTACCTCCCAACCTCAGCCAATCTGGAATCCTTCCCATTACTGGGTCTGCGGGAGAGAATCCTTGACTTGGCTGCTCTTAAGCTCTGCTCGACCCAGGCCGAGGGGATCCCCATAAATCCATCTGCCCTCCTCTGAAGCCAGTGAATTATAGCGTCAGGTGAGCAAGAGTGTTTGCCAGCCTCTCCCAACCCGCACCCCTCCCCCCGACTTCCTCTTAAGTACATCTATCCATTTTGGCCCATGGTGAGTGCCACCCAGGAGAGGGAGGGGTCTTGGCTCTGGGCTGAGGTGAGAGCCTTGATGAAAGCCATGAATTAGAGGGGGGAGACGATGACTTGAAAGAATTCTCCAGCAGACCCACCTCCTGTGTGGTTGGCCCATGGCCAAGGGGTTCCATTTTGGAGCCTCCATTCCCCCCCTAAGAGCCCTGCTATAAATACAAGATCACACATGACAGAGCACATTCCTCCCTCCTACTCACATTCTTCCATTTCACAACTGCCCACCCACTGGCATTTCTGGCCCCAAGGTGTCCCCTCCACAGCCCAGCCACTGCCCCCCAGTGTGCTGGAATGCCACGTGGTGCCAACCGTGTTCTGGAGCGGTCACAGGGCCACAGCCGTTGAGCAGCAAGGAGTCACAGGGGAGGGCAAGGAGGGAGAGCAGCGCCAGTGGAGGAGAACCCAGCCAGCTTCAGCCGGGGGACGACTGCAGGGGCCTCCGTCCCACCCACTCCCCGTCTGGCACCTGTCCACAACCTCCACTCTCCACCTGTCCACTACTCTACTCTGGAGTAGTTCAACATAGATATCTCAGCCATCATCTTCATCTTCAACCTCCATCATCGTCACCACCAGCCGTCAGGCACTTACTCGGTTGTTTGTCACACGTGAAGAAGTACAATGCTAACACCTCTCCTCTCCCTCCAGCCTCCTGCCTGCAGGTCTCAGCTGGGGAGGGAGAGAGGAGCAGAACCCCTACGGGGACTTAGGGGTCCGAGGCTAAGCCATCTCGCCCTCCAGACCTCCATTCTCTTCAGGAATAAGCCAGATTTGGTGCAAGGTCAATGGCAATGGGGAAGAGATCTGTTTGGTTGGAGACCAGAGGGATGTGGTCTCAGTCGGAAGGGATGGGGAAGGAAACATACTCTCTCCTCCGTGGTTCATTCCCACTTTTGAGAAGAAGCCTAATTCTTCTCAGGACCACACAGCAGCTCGTGTCCTCCTTCCAGCCTGTCCCCACATGGCTCTCAGCCCCGGACCCCAGGGCAGGGTCTCCTGGTCTCTCTCCGGGACCCTCAAGCCTCCATCCCGTCTCCACCTGCTGTTTCATCCTGCGGATCCAGGTTCCCGCTGCCCCCATTTCTCAGCTGGTAGGAGTAGAGGCAGGAAGAGACAAAGGGGGTTTCTCTCCACTGCTCTGACCTGTTATTACTCAAGATGGAACAAGTCCCAGCCCTGAGGTCCTTATTCTGGACGGCCAGTCAGATCTTTAAGCTGCTCATCACTTCACACTCCAAGCCAAGCAGCGCCCGGAAAATCAGAGCCAGGATAGAACCACCAGGACAGGACTCGCTGAAATTCTCTTCTGCAAATATCCTGGAGTTGTACAGAGGGGATGTACGTGCACCCCAGGGAGTGTTCCCCGACTGATCTCACGCCCACTGCCTGCCCCTTCCTGAGTAGAAATGTTAGAGAGCATCCCAGTATCTCCCTCTCTGCCCTACCCTCGCTCTGGGTGGGCAGCCAGGTGTGCAGTGCCCACTTACCTGGGTGCACAGCCGCCTCCAGCCTCCTGTCCACTCCCTCCTCCCCGTCTCCAGCTGCTGCACGCTGCCAGAGGCTCTGAATGGACTGCTGCTGGACAGGCAGTGCTGGGAGCAGATGTAGGTCACGGCAGACACCCGGCTCCCTCGGCCCCTCCCACTCACCCCACCCCCGTCCTCCTCCTATACCCAGGCTTGGCAGGGCAGGCCCCCCAGTGTTAATGCCCTGGCCTCCGAGGAGGTCAGAGATGGAAGGGTCCTGTGACATCAGCTCATCCAACTTCTTGTCTTGCAGAGCTTTGAGCTCTTAACCAGATTAGCTTGGTTCAGTCTGCTCCATTTTGCCTCGTTTATTTGACCCCGTTTAACAGGGGCATTTTCATCAGCCAAAGCCTTAATTTTTTCAGTTAAGCTGATCCCTTGGGACCCTTGACACCCCAAGTCACACAGATATATAAAGCCACTGCCCTCTTGTGAATCACAACCTAAAGTGGCACTAAACAACAACAAACTTCAGGAGCTAGACACAGACCTAGGCAGACAGGAGGGCATGATCCCAAAGGCTCTGCCATGGGGTGCGCCCCGCCGAAAGTGTGGGGCAGGGGGGACCCCGGGAGTCGAACAACTGGGAGGCCTTCCAGGAGAAGGTGAGCTTTCTCGGGATAGAAGGGGTGACCCGGCTGCTGGGCTGGGGGCTGACGGTGGCAGGGTTGGGTTTCTGCGGATGCGTGGGTGGAAGGTGGGACTAGGGATAGGATGGCTGGTAACAGACTTTCTTAAGAAGAGTGGAGGCAGGTGAGGCCCAGAAGGAGACAAGGTGACAAGGCCACCTGGTCTGCTTTGGAAGAGCCACCTGCTCTCTCCGGAAGGACAGAGAACCAGTTAGTGGCCACCAATAAGCAAGACTTGATCAAGGATTCAGGGGAAGGAGAAGGGAAATGAGAGCTAATGTTTTCCAAGAAGGCACTAGATATTAGCACATTGCCAACTCTATAGGAGCCTCTGCACGTGCTCTGAGAGGGTTGGTGTGTGACCTCTTACACAGGCGTGTGTGTGCACGCACACTCGTGTATCTCTGCATCCCCCTGTGTGTTTCTGACTCTGGGGTTTCATTTTTTCACAAACATATGTTGAACTCCCACCCTGTGTCGGGTCCTGGGTCCGCCGCTGTCAGGCGCTGGGAATACAAGGGAAGTTACAGCCTAACAGGGCAGATACGCGTTAAATAGCCTGCTACCAACAGCTATGCGTGCTCCCAAGGAACGGATGGAGAGCCAGGGGAGCTGAGCTAGGGGTGGGCCAGGAAAGAGCAGCAGGAGGTGAGCTGGGGCAGGCAGGCTTTGGGGCCATTAGAGAATTTTGATCTCTATCCTAAAGGCTACTGAGGTCTGTTTAAGCTGGAGGGGTGACAGGATCCAATTTGCTTTTTTAAAAACTCCCTCTGGCACAGAGCGGAAAAGGGATGCAGGAGTGTGGAAGCGAGAGGCAGGAGGAGGGCGGTCAGTGACCCCACGGTCTTCTTTCTCCAGTGGGGCCCTGGGCTCCAGGGGGCCTCCTGAGCCACAGTGCCGCTTCGTCCAGGAGAGGAAGGGGAGGCTGTGATCGTGGCCAAGTACGGAGCCTTCGGGGGTTCAGGTGCCTCTGTTGGCTGCCCAGGTAGCTGGCAGGTCTTCCCCCAAAACCCGGGGACGGCCAACAGACCACATGAGGGGTGGCTCTCCACTCTGCGCTGTACCGTCCTTGGATCCCCCTCGTCGTGATAAGATGGAAACTTCAGGACTCTAAGGAACTGAAATGGGAATGGGTGAAATGGTTTTCACCCACACTCTGTCCTCCATCCTCTGTCCTCTGTCCTCTATCCTCTATCAAATGGAATGCCCAGTAGCATCTGGTTGTGCCTGGCGTGTTCAGCCACGCACCTGAAGGTGAGAATCTTCAGTGGTGAGAAAGGTGCACACAGGTGTAGCTCCCTGCGATTGGCAGCAGGTAACAAAGGGGTGACAAAGAGCTGTCCAGCCACAGCCCAGCCCCTCCTAGGAATTTCCTTGCTACCCCTCAAGCCAATGACAGGGGTGTTCTGATTATTCTCTAGTGATCTTTCCTAGTGCCCAGATGTTAGCCAGTGGTGAAATTCTCACACCACCTCCCCACCTGGCATGACCTTATTACACCTCCTGATAGATTTTCCTTTGGGAGATGAAGGAACAAGTCCCTGCCTTCATTATTAGGGACCACCCACGTCAAAGGAGCTCCGGGGGGGGGAGCGGATCCGTATGTATTATTCATTCTTCCTCAGTGTCTTATGGGAAGGGCTCCGTGACTTTGGGAAATGAGCACAATTTTTTAATGCTCTCCTGTCCCCACAGAGGGAAACGCATTATATGGCAGATGCCAACAGGCTCAGCGCCATTCAGGCCTCCCCATCGGGGCCCTCTGTCTCCCCAAGGCCTGGGTTAGATGAGATGATCTCCGAGATCCTGGCCAACTTGAACCTTCTAGAATCCTGTGACTTGCTGAGTGGGTTCCATGGACAAGGCCCCGTGGACTTGGAAAGCAGGGTAATTTCACGTGACTTGGGAGAGAATTTCAATTCATTTGCAGGCTGCTATTGCCTTGATGTCTTGGTATAACAATGGCTCTGCTCCAGCTAGGCAAGCCGCTGAGGGCGCTCTCCCTGGGACAGTGTCCTCTCTTGCTCCCACAGAGGTCCAGGTAGGTGGGGTAGCAGGACACGGTTCTGA